ATCCAGATAATCAGTGAAGAGATTGAACAGGACCGGCCCCAGTACTGAGCCCTGGGGAACACCACGTGTGCCCAGCCACCAACTGTATTTGACTTCATTTACCACCACTCTCTGGGCTCCATACACTCCAGGAACCTCCAAGACTGCTTTCTCTCTGCTGCGTTGTATTTCCAGCAGATATCTGGTAAGTTGAAGTCTCCCATGAGAACAAGGGCTAGAGACTGTGAGACTTCAGGACTCCCACCAGGATATCTGCCTTATTAGCCTTCCCTCTGATCTTTACCCATAAGCACTCAACCTTATCATTACCTTGGTTGAGCTCTAGACAATCAAAACACACTCTAACATACAGGGCTACCCCACCACCTCTTCTTCCTTGCCTGTCCCTTCTAAAGAGCTTGTAGCCATCCATTGCAGCACTCCAGTTGTGTGAGTCATCCCACCATGTTTCCGTGATGGCAACCACATCATAGTTTTCCTGCCACACAGTGGCTTCCAGCTCCTCCTGCTTATTGCCCATGCTGCATGCATTGGTGTAAATGCGCTTCAGTTGGGCTACAGATCTCTTCTCCAACACAGGCATGCCACCTCTAGGCTCATCCCTAGCAAGCCTGGTGTTATCCCCTTCCCCCTTTGCATCTAGTTTAAAGCGCTCTCAATGAGGCCTGCTAACTCCTGAGCTAGGATCCTTTTCCCCCTTTGCGACAGGTGAACCCCATCCCTCTCCAGCAGGCCTGGTGCCATGTAAACTGCCCCACGATTGAAAAAACCCAAAATTCCACCTCTGGCACCAGCCTCTGAGCCACGCGTTCATGAGATGGGTCTTCCTGTTCCTTTCCATATGCCTCCCGGCTACTGAAGGGATGGAGGAAAACACTAAATAAAAAATGCTTGTTTTGAACTAAATAAGTAAATAAAGTAAATACGAGCCAGAGAACACTAAAATTCTAAAAAATACTAAAATCACTCACTTGATACTTAAAATGTCAAGGCATACAGAGTTAATTTTGCATGAAAGGTTTCTACTAAAATAATTACCTTCCCATTGAATTCCGTCTCACTCAGCATCATAAACTGGGTAACACCACAGTATAAATTTCAAACAGTTGTTCCAGTAAAGACTAATTAAGTGTGAAAATTTCCTATCTTGCCTAACTCAACTTTGGAAATTATATTCCTGTTGTGCTTGGCCTGAGGTACCATTTCAGCTATGTAAGCTTATAGAAAAGTAATACGGTTTCAAAGTAATCCAACCCAAACTGAGATTTTTATTAGACAAACTATCAGACCCTAAATATGAACACTGATGCCCTCTGAAATCAAGTAAAACCTCTGAAAAAAAAAAGGGGGGGAAAAAAAAAAACGAAAAAAGAAACTTACTTGTTGGAACCCCAGGTAGTCTTGGATAGTAGAAGAGACGTAAAAAACCAGAGCATCAGCCGTAACAACTAATACAAAACCATTTAATGCCTGAGAAGGAAACACACCAATCTGTCAGCTTCAGAGACAAAATTCCAGATAATAATTGTGGCTGTAAGTCTACCTATACCCTAGTCTCACAATAAAATGTGAAGCATGCAAAAACATATCATTATCTAACAGCATAAACAGAAGCATTCTTCATTGCATCTCTCTACAGTATACAGGGCACAATGAAGAAAACAGCATCTAATGAAAAAAAAGAAAAATGTTCTTTTGGAAAACTCAGGGGAGAAGCCAAAGCCTGTTGATGATTTTTATTTACTCGTGATTGTAGGAGATGAGGGACAGCAGTATGAACAACTATAGGTTTATCTAATGTCAACCATAATTCACAATGCTTGTGTGTCTCAAGCCTTTGGTACACCCAGCTGCCCGCAGCACAAACGGGAGCCATGTCACAAACCCATTCCCAAAATCTGTTCTATTCATAGCACAGACAGGCCTAAGTGGACAGGAAATCAAGCGACCAAGATCCCCTACATAGTCCAAAAAAACATTTTATAGCTTACTTAAAATAGAAAACCTCTGCACAAGCAGACTGTTGCAAGTAAACAATGTTTTTGAAGAGATTTCCCCCTTCACGAAGCAGCAGACTAAGCGGCTCCTTACTCAAAGTCACGCAAAGGGCATTTATCTGAACTCCCAATCAATATGGTTCATGGCAATTGTTGTGATAGCAAACAGCACATTTGTGACTTGGCAGCTCATCTGAAAGGTGCTGATGTACTTCTATGGATTTCAGTCAAGATTTAACAAAAGGCTGTCTCTAGGGACTAGAGTAAGTATATTGTGCCACTTAATTTCCTCAGCTGCATTCAAAGTCAAATTTGGCCAGCATACTCAAAACACATTTTTTGAACTTCTTTATTATGCAAAATTATCATAACTAACAGAAAATGCAAAGTAATTGAAGGCTATCCTATATCTTTCTTTAACAACATAATATATTTTTATTATGAAACGGCATCATTCTTCCACACACTAACTCCCACAGCCCCACACTATGGTAACCACCATAGTTGCTTTTCCAGATTTTGCAAAGATACGGTTTTACTATTTCTTGTTCTTTTACTAATACAGTCTAATTAAGTCAAGGTTAAAGATCTGATTAAATGACTGGTCTTAAAACGCTGTGAACCACCTATTTAATGTGTAGACATTTCTTAATCTATTCTCACAAACAGTTGTGAGCTCTGTAAAACCTCGTTATTTAAGTTTAGTGAACGTCACCTGAAAACAGTACAAGCTAAAAAAAAAAAAAAAATAGTAATCTGAAATTAAATAGTGTAGCTGACCCAAGAAATCTTGGGTAGTTACATAAAATCCTTGGTTTTGATGAAATTCATACTAATTCCAAGGGAGCAGGAAGCCACAATGGCAGGTGCTTGTGTCCTCTGCTGACCTATTCTGCAGGGCATTTCACCTCAAGTGGTTGATACAAAGCTTCTGCGAGCTGCACAGTGTCTAATTCTGGCCCACGTGTTAAAATCATTTATTCTGCTCTGTTTCATACAAAGACATGGAAAGGTTCTTTTTTGTGCAGTCTGCGACAAAGGTGAACGGCTCCTCTACCTGGAATTCAATCACATTTTACAGTGGCTCTGGTACGCAGTTCATTTTGAAACAGGATTGTTACTGCAGAAATCAGATGCTGTCTGTAAACCAGAAATTCTGTAAAATATAAGTTGCTTGCCCAAAAGTCTACTGCAACAAATTACTGGAAGTTCCTTAAAACATGCAGGTATCCAGTGTATACCAATAAATGGGAGATCAGTTCTGACAGAGGTTTTAGCAAAATACAATCCTGAAATTATCTTTAAAGGCATAATGAAATTTCTCAATGAGCTTATTGTTCTGGAGCATTGGAGGTACTATTTGTGCTTCTACAAAAATATTCTCAATATTCCTCATACAAATGTAATTACAAAACTTCATTGCTGGTGAGAATTAAGATGTTTTAAAAATTTCTTAAGAGACTGACATTTGACTTGCACTTCATGCCATAAACTCGCTTAGACTATACTAGGTTATGCATCTAAAATAAGACTTTGAAGTAATTTAAATAATTTTTTTAAAAGGAGATATAGCTTAATTTTAAGGAAGGCACATCTATGTATTTGATCTCTATTTCCACAATATATTTAATTGGTAAGACAGTTTCTACCTTGAAAATTAAAGACATCACTATTTTCTGTTTGTTATGAAACAAGAAAAAACATGTGATGAACAAATAAAACCAAATATAAACAATATGGTATATATTCATACCACCTTTTCAAAAAATAGAGAGAGAATAAAAAAGAAATGTTCATCATCAGTTATAGTTTATAGAAACCTGTGTGACACAAAAGACTTCTGAGCTTAGGCAGGTGGGATGCAACCACTATTTACATCTTACTGATGCTCAGTATCTTCTAGAAAATTCCCACTTTCATCACTTATTTCTTACATTCCCTAAGAAAACTATCTGCATATTCATTCTCTTTTTTTTTTTTAATATAAAATATTTACAAACCAAGAAATTCAGTTATTTAGTTCATTTACTTACTTCCCAAGGGGGCAGAATTTACAGAAACAATTTCATTTTCATATTGGAAAGCAGTTTGCTATAGCAGTTTCATCATATAACTTCCATTTAGAAGTCAAAAAGTAACTAATTTCACATCAAATAGATGTATCCAATATAAACTATATACTGTACCTTTTTAGATGATTTCCATTTAAAAGAAAGCTGTTCACCTGCAGTAACTCTGTAACAGTTCTTTGTCATACTTTATTAAGGTTAGAAAGTTACATACGTGTCCTAGTTTTTTAGTGGGTTAGGAAATAATTTTCCACTAGCATTGTTTACAGTAATTGTTTCATGCGATTCTTAGAACCTGTTTTCATTTCTACCCTTTGAACAGTTAAACTAGTTTTGTTCTAAGCAAGCCATTGGCTCTGACTGACCTAATGATTTGCCACTTCTGATACATCAGTGGGAAACGTGATAGATTATCAACATATTTCAAATGGAGCTGCAGGTCACAGTAAAATCTATTTTTTGAAACTAAATAGAACACTGGAATACTTATATTAGTCATTTCTTGAGTTTAATCTGGACCTAGTAATATATCATTATATTTCATATGCTTTGACACTCCAGGACATTAAAACAGGCTATAAAACAGACTATATAATTTAAAAGCCCTCTGTTTTTCATTAATACTTTCCAGTAGTTCACATTGCTAAAAGTTATTGAAGTATTTTAAAATTTGTCCTGAACCTATGCTATGAACTCTGGGTTCTTTCAAACCACTGAGAAAGCAAGATATTCCAGCAAGCCCAAGGTCTTTTAAAGAGAAATTGCTTTTTTTAGACAATTACTCACCAAATTTACAGTAGATGACTAACATATCTGACCTTTATGAGGATTGTTTCTTTATATTAATATCTTTATTAATGCAAAGAGATGGGGAAAAAACAACTCTAAGAAATGACTCAGAAAGAGTTAAGAGGACCTTGTAGTCTAACAACCACTCTTCAAAGTCATTACTACCATAAGAGGAAAGTTCAAGAGCTGTACAAAATATTAAGGTAAAGAAAACGAGGAAAGGATTTGACAATAAGAAAACTTGCTTTTTCAATCTCATCAGTGAACAACTGGTACATTAAATACAATACATTTTTTTCTTTAAATGTAAATCTTTCTATAATACATCCACTGCAAAACATACCTGCAGTAAGAGTTCTCCTTCCAGGATCTGCATCCCTTCTCCATGTTTTGCTGTTCTACAGTCTTCCTGAATGCCATTTCTTTCTGGTCTTGTAGAGTTGGATTTTAATGCAACTAGAAAAAAAAAGAAAGAAAAAAGTTGAGTGATCTTGAAAGGCTTACTAGAAGTTTATGTGATGATGTGCTATTTTGTGTAAGAAAAAATTGTATTTTAAAAATGCTTACAAAATCAATCTAATGAAAGAGTTCTGTTTCAGTGTCAGGCTTTTTCCTTAATTTTAGAGATAACCCCCAAATTTGCCGTTCATCTCCTTTATACACTATAATACTTTCACAACAGAATCAGTATTATTGAAATCCATCCAAATCTCATTTTATTCCTTTTTCTTCTTCTCTTTACTGTAAGGCTCACTTTTAGTTTGTTACCCTTCTTAAGAAAGGACTTTTTTTTTTTTCCATACAACTACCTCCTATAACCTGATAACAAGCTTGCTTTAAAGTATGACAACATTTACACTTTTTCTTATCCCATCTGATTTCAGACATCAAACTATGGTACCTCAGATATAAGCCTGCTCTAGACCTAAAGCTCCCTTCAGAGAAAGGAAGGAAAGACACAGGAACCCTAAATGCATATTACACCTTAAAGAAAAAGAAAGCTATTTCAAACAAAAAGGCTTTTTTTTTTTTTTTCTGCCATAGTTAAATTTTAACCACTTAAACAATTAAGCAAACTTTAATTTCAGATAAAATACTATAACCATGAATCCTCACTATTCAGGTCATAAATATATCCAATTGAAAGACAAAAAATTACTTAATGAATAAGGGATGAAGAATCAGACCAAATTGCTAGAAAGTACCTGAAAGACATACTACCTTCCATCTCTGCACTGTCTTCTAATAAACAGGATGCTGTCAAGTAAAACTAGATACTCAAAGATTGTCCATAACTCAGAATTTATCTACTTTCCACATAGCTCTAAAAAGGGGGGGGGGGGAAGTCTCCAAATCTGAAATTAGTCTGAGTGGGTCTGTAGTGTCTAAACAACTTGAAATTACTTGAGTAATTGTAGCTTAAACTTTTACCATAAAGCTAAACACCACCCCCACTCCCTAAACCCCCAAATTTCTACACTGCAAAGCAAGGGAAATTTATAAAAGCAACTGCACTTCTGTAAAATACCAACAGTTTATCTCATAACAATGAGATATTCACCTTAAATTCCAAATGATTTTTCAACTTCCTGAAAACCTTAATTTTTCAGCTGCTCAGAACTTTAGTCAAGAATCCCAAAGAACTCCTGTTCACTCACTTTTCAACTAGATTAAATGATATTTTACACTAAGTATATTAACTGAAAGATAAATTATGCCTTTCAGGTTTTTTTTAAGCTATCAGTGCAACTAAGAACTTTCAAGCCAGACAGTTTTCATTAAAATATCCCTCAAAGGCACCGCAGAGGAAAAACATGTTCTAAAAAGACATTAACTGATTAATCAGTCAGGAATTTATCTGAGGGTTTGCTTTGAAATTAAAACCTTAATGCTCTTCTTCCTACCAGATAGTGAAAATGTCCTGTATATAGGCCACACAGAGTTGCAATTTCAAATTCATTTTTAATTCAAGTGAGTGGAAGATGTAGCGATATTTTTTTTCCTAAGCGTTACTTTACAAGGATATCTAGAATATTGCCTAAAAACCCCTGAAGTCCACTGGCAGTAGAATAAAACTTACTATCCTTTTCATTTATATTGTAGGATTATTGAGAAAACCCACATTCAGCTTTGGAAGTTGCAAGTAAAGATACCTAATCACACTCGCCATTCTGAAAGAATACCATATACAATAACATATAGGTGTTTTTTTTTCTTTTATAATATGCAAACAATAAATGAGGCGGAGGAGTTACAGGTGGTTGACTAGTGAATGACATTGTGCTCTACATCTATCAAGTAACAAAGCTCTAGAGCTCAAACACAGCCTACACACTGCTATGTCTATATTCCTTCTAACTTTCAAAGCGTGTGCATAGGTACACGTGAAGTTACATATTTTGTTGAATTGGAACCTACACCTTTTATACAACTCATCACGTGGATGTAATCAAGCTGTGGTAAACTGAGACAGATGGAAAAATGCTGACAAACTGGGGTAAAAAAAAAAAAGGAAGATACAGTGGAAATTGCAGCTGTATACACCATTGGGTGTATACAACTCCTAAAAAAACAAACCCAAGTTTACCTTGTTCTAACAGAGAAATCACAGGCCTGGTAGTACCTGCTACAAGCCACCCAGTCACTGGAGTTTCTCCCTCAACACCCATAGGTAGGGTGAAGAGATCACACTACAGGGGACTTCACCTTGTGAGACTTTGGAGATGCATCACTAAATGACAGCTCTAAAGCACTCACATGCTTTTAAAGACTAAGTTGGAAAGAGGTTAACTGTTCCATCTATGGAAAGGAAAATTTTTATCATCCTTCTTCTCAATTAATAAAGGGGCATCAAAACTGAACTGCAAATGTTGCTTAGGTAGGTGTGGTCTTCCCATGATGTCATAAAAACTAAATTGCATTTATTAAGTAAAACCCAAATTTTGTTCAGCTGGTACTAGAAAAGGCCAATTTCACAAAAATCAAAAGTCAAATTGGCTAGAAGCACATAAAAATCGCAACAACAGAATTGGTTTGAGAAAAAAAAAATGTAGGAAAAAACAAGAAAGATGATGAAATATTTTTATTTAATACTTCTGAGAATAACAAGTGAGATATTCACATTTCATGATGAAAGTCCTTTTAGTCCAACAGAGCTAAACAGAAATGACTGAATATGGATATTTTAGATCAATAAGACTTGATAAATTTTAGTCAAGATTTTAAAAACAGCTTGTTGAATTACCTACTGTAGAGACAAGACAATGGAATAGATGATACAGAACTTTGAATAATAAATATTTAAAAGAAGGTAGTATTAAAAAAAAAAATCAGTATTCAAACTAAATATAAACTTTTTATTAAAGAAATTCTAAATGTAACTTGTGAAGTTTACAATGTTAATATAGTTAAGGTACGGTAATTATCAGCCCTATGTGATCAAACTTCTTTATTAATACTCTAAAGTTGGTAGTAAGATTTTAGGCTGACATAAATACAATGAGAGTAACAAACAGAGACAACACAGGTCCCTGACGCTGAGTAACCCCACCTACCTGGATGCAAACTTGCAACAGGTGGTTCAATACAGTCAGACTGAAGGCTACCAGATCCCAACAACAACTGGCCTTACAGTATGGGAGGGCCATCTTGCGAAGCAGTAATTCTGAAAAGACTTAGTCACAGTGCACAATGCTGTGGCCTTAAAAATACCAGCTAGAGATATAGTAACAAATGATAAGGAGAACTAAAGCTAAAAAGGGTAACTCATCCAAAAGTAATATTGCAGTCAACATCACCTAGTTTAAAATCAGCCATGTATTCTGCTACTTCTCATAGTCTATGTTACTCATGTAGTCAGACAAAATAATCCCAATAGTTCATTGCTTTATCCCCTCTTCATTTTCAGCCGCAGCAAATTAAAACATAAATACTCCCATAGAGTAAGTAGAAAAAAAATCTCTATACAAATTCCAAAAGACATGAAAGACACAATCAAATTACTTCTCAGAATTTCCCATGCATAACATTAAAGCAAAAAAAAAAAAAAACAAACACCACACCACCAAAAGCACAGTTGTTTATATACCCGTGGCCAAGTTTTTTTAAATGGGGGGGAAAAAAAAAAAAAAAGAAAAAAGATTTTGTGCTACACATTTTTAGCAAGAGGGCTAGATTGTAAGCACATGTTTTCCAAGTAGGTTAATGATTGTCACTTAATCCTATGTCCAGCAACAAGCATCTTTTCCATTGCCCAGACTTTCCTGATTTGAAGTAAAAGCTAAATCCCAAAGACAATAAACCTAGATAGTGACCTTTAATAGGTTTTCTAGACTCACAACAACATTATAGTTTCTGGTACATTTGTTTTACCATTGTGAAATGCTTTAGCACCCAAACCAGCAAATGTAAAAGATAGTTTTACATTATATCTACAAAGACAAATTAAATGACAATGGTAACATTGTTTACCAGCTCTTTATCTCTGGTTCTAACTATTACATTCAGGTGATGACAGATTTGTACAGAGATGTAGTGTACTTTAACAACAGATTAACAATATATCTGAAAAAAAAAAAAAAAAAAAGTCTGACATACAACTACTACGTGGATGTAATCAAGCTGTGGTAAACTGAGACAGATGGAAAAATGCTGACAAACTGGGGTAAAAAAAAAAAAGGAAGATACAGTGGAAATTGCAGCTGTATACACCATTGGGTGTATACAACTCCTAAAAAAACAAACCCAAGTTTACCTTGTTCTAACAGAGAAATCACAGGCCTGGTAGTACCTGCTACAAGCCACCCAGTCACTGGAGTTTCTCCCTCAACACCCATAGGTAGGGTGAAGAGATCACACTACAGGGGACTTCACCTTGTGAGACTTTGGAGATGCATCACTAAATGACAGCTCTAAAGCACTCACATGCTTTTAAAGACTAAGTTGGAAAGAGGTTAACTGTTCCATCTATGGAAAGGAAAATTTTTATCATCCTTCTTCTCAATTAATAAAGGGGCATCAAAACTGAACTGCAAATGTTGCTTAGGTAGGTGTGGTCTTCCCATGATGTCATAAAAACTAAATTGCATTTATTAAGTAAAACCCAAATTTTGTTCAGCTGGTACTAGAAAAGGCCAATTTCACAAAAATCAAAAGTCAAATTGGCTAGAAGCACATAAAAATCGCAACAACAGAATTGGTTTGAGAAAAAAAAAATGTAGGAAAAAACAAGAAAGATGATGAAATATTTTTATTTAATACTTCTGAGAATAACAAGTGAGATATTCACATTTCATGATGAAAGTCCTTTTAGTCCAACAGAGCTAAACAGAAATGACTGAATATGGATATTTTAGATCAATAAGACTTGATAAATTTTAGTCAAGATTTTAAAAACAGCTTGTTGAATTACCTACTGTAGAGACAAGACAATGGAATAGATGATACAGAACTTTGAA